AGTAATACAGATTGGCAGGTGGTGTGTTTCCCCAGGGGTGAGGTGCCAGGCTGGTTTTCACACCAAGGGGGCATGCAATTGGTCTGCTGGCTCAGCTGTGGCTTCCCTAGGGGCAGGATGCCCAACTGGGTCATATGCCAAGGAGGCAAGCACATGGCTGGTTTTCTGGATAAGACTTGACTTCCCCACTGGGCAAGACAGCCTGTTCCTTGGCAGGGCAGACTGTCATCTGGACTCAAGTGACAGGATCACAGCTGTTTCCCTGAGCCTAGATTTTGAGTCCCTGGGGTTGGGGCACTGAAGCCACTAGGATGAAGAAAATGGAGTGCTTCCTAGACAGCTTGTTCCCATGGGTTAGGAAGCAGGGCAGCTTGGCTAGCAGATGGTGTACTACTGTGTGTAAGCATGATGCAATGATGGTGAAGCCTCAAGGATGAATAGATGCAGTGACTACTGCCCCCAAGAACAGAACACACTCTAGTAGTTGCTCTAGTTTTAAGATGGTGCTGTGCAGTACTAGCTTGGGTCATGGGATGGGAGGAGCCACAATATGGGCTCTTACTCTAGCATAATGCAGCCATATGAACTCCAGGCAGATTCCAAAACTGGACTTAGGACCTGTGAGAACTGTAGGATTCTCCAGCAACAAAGACTGCCAGTGTCCACAGATATAATGGGGACTTCTGGGGGCTTCTTTACCTTTTGTTTTTGGGAAAAACACCTTCTAGGCCTGAATCCCAGCCTGCATTCCAAGCTGATCCTGACTGAGGAGACAGGGTTGCAGAGGCAGGGTGTTCCATTGCCTTCTTTATGTAGCCATCCTGAGTTTCTGTGCTCCACAAGGTTTCTGCCACTCCCCTGCTGTACTTCAGTGCTCTCCTTTAGACACTCCAGTCAAAATGTAGTTGTTTCCTTATTGTTTCAGTGTATTTTAGGAGGAAAGGGGATGAGTAATAGACACGTCTAATCAGCCATCTTGCCAACATCACCGACAATGTCTTTTCCCTTAAAATAATAGAAATATGGCTTCCATTTACTACACCATTTTTCTGTCTCCCTTTATAAAGTTTTCAGTGCACTAGATGTGGTGGCTCATGCCTGTAATCCCAGCACTTTGGGAGGCTGAGGCGGGAGGATCACTTGACACCAGGTGTTTGAGACCAGCCTGGACAACATAGTAAGATCTTGTCTCTACAAAAGATAAAAAATAAAGATAAAAAATAAACAGTGTAGCATGGTGGCACATGCTTGTAGTCACAGCTACTTGGGAGGCTGAGGTAAGAGGATCACTTGAGCCCAGGAGGTTAAGTCTGCAGTGATCTGACCTCCAGCCTGAGTAACGGAGCAAGATCCTGTCTCAAAAAAATAAAATAAAGCAAAACATAAAGTTTTCAGTGAGTTGCTGTCTTTGCTTCACTTTCTTTCATTCTTTATTTAATATTTATTTTTAATTTACATTACATTAAGATTTACTTTTTTGAAACACCGTCTATAATTTTTGACAAAGATTTAGAGCAACATAACCACCAGCAGAATCAAAATACAGGACATTTTTATCCCTTCAAAAATTTCCTGGCTGGACGCAGCGGCTCAAGCCTGTAATCCCAGCACTTGGGGAGGCCTAGGCAGGTGGATCACCTGAGGTCAGGAGTTCGAGACCAGCATGGTCAACACGGTGAAATTCCATCTCTACTAACAATACAAAAATTAGCCAGGTGTGGTGGTCCATGCCTGTAGTCCTAGCTACTCAGGAGGCTGAGGCAGGAGAATTGCACGAACCTGGGAGGTAGAGGTTACAAATGAGCTGAGATCATGCCACTGCATTCCAGCCTGGGTGACAGAGTGAGACTCTGTCTCAAATAAATAAATAAATAAATAAACAAATAAATAAAAGAAAAAAATTTTCTTATGCCCTCAATCCCTTTTATAGTCAAATCTTCCCCCATTCCTAACCCCTGGTAAACTCGTCTAAGTCCTTGTAGTTCTTCCTCACTCTTCCTTGAACCCACTTAAATCAGTCTTTCATTCTTACCATTCCATTGAATTGTTCTTGCACATAGCATCAACCATCTTTATGTTGCTGCATCCAGGGGTCAATTTTAATTTTTTATTTTACTCAATTTCTCAGGGGCATTTGATCACTCTTTTTTTGGAAATACTTTTCACTTGGCTTCTGGAATATCATAGTCTGCTGGTTTTCTTTCTAATTCAGTATCTGTTGCTTTTCAGGTTCTTTGCTAAATTATTTAATTTTTTTAGAGTTAGGGTCTGACCCTGTTGCCCCAACTGAAGTGCAGTGGTATGGTCATGGCTCATTGTAGCCTTGAATTTCTGGTCTCAAGTGATGCACCTGCCTCAGCTCCATGAGTAGCTGGAACCGGAGACACATGCAACCACACTCAGCTAATTAAAACAATTTTTTGACCGGGTGTGGTGGCTCACATCTGTAATCCCAGCACTTTGGGAGGCCAAGGCAGGTGGATCACCTGAGGTCAGCAGTTCAGACCAAGCTGACCAACATGATGAAACCCAGTCTCTACTAAATAAAAAAAAAAAATTAGCTGGTTGTGGTGGCACATGTCTGTAATCCCAGCTACTTAGGAGGCTGAGGCAGAAGAATCCCTTGAACCCGAGAGGATGCAGTGAGCTGAGATTGTGCCATTGCACTCTAGCTTGGGCAAGAAGAGTGAAACTCCATCCCCCTCAACAAACTTTTTTTTTTTTTTCATTAATTTATTTATTTTTTGCCGCCCAGGCTGGTCTCAAACTTCTGGCCTCAATCAATCCTCTCACCTCAGCCTTCCAAAGTGTTGGGATTACAGTCATAAGCTACGGCGTCTGGCTTGGATCCTTTGCTGACCTCAAAATGTTGGATATCCTCAAAGTTGATACCTAGACTTCATCCATACTCACTTCCCCAAATTATATAATTATGTCACCTCATGTGCCACTTAAAGCTTAAATGCAAGCTTATTTCTCCAGCTTTGACCTCTCTTTTAAATACCTCTTACATTCTGGTATCTAATAGACATCTTAATAAACATCTTAAACTTAACATCAGGTGTTTAACAGGCATCTTAAACTCAAACAGATCTCTTGATCTTCCACCTGTACTACTACCACCCCAAAACTTAACCTATTTTCCCCCACAACTTCTCCAATTCAGGAAATGTCACAACCATTCTTCCAGTTTCTGTGGCCAAAAATCTAAGAGTCATACTTAATTCTCCTCTCTCTCCTTTTGCACTTTCTATTTAATCCATAGCAATTCCTATTAATTCTACTTTTAGAATTTATACTAAAGTCTGACCATTTCATATCACCAGCACTGTCTAATCTGAACCACTATCTTTACTCCCCTACACTAAATTCCCACTAATGTTCTCCTTGCTTTTCTTGCACTTCTATACTGTTTTCCTCACAGTGTCAGAGTGATATTGTAAATTAAGTAAGAACTATCCATAGTTCCCCATCACACCTAGAATGAAATCCAAAACTATTGCCAAGTCCATAAAGTGCCCATGACTGGACCCTTCCTATTTCTCAGACACCGATAACGAACCCTTGCCCCCTTACTTGGTCAGCTCCAGGCGCCCTTGCCTTCTCATTCCTCCTTGTACAAGCGTATTTCCTCCTCAGGATACTTGCATTTGATGTTTTCTCTGCCACAGATGCTCTTTCCCAAATATTCAGAAGACTTGTTTCCTGATTTCGTTTAGGTTTTTACTGAATCTATCTAAATCTATCTAAACAGTTAAGACCATCTTAAGATGCTCTGTATCTTATTTCTTTGCTTTATTTTTCTTAGAGCACCAATCACTCTCTGAAAGAATGTTATATACTTATTTTTAAATTGGCTCTCTCCCACTGTACTATAAATTTCTTGACATCAAAGATCATCATTCATGTTCACTCCCATCACTTCAGGGCCATGCACAATGTCTTGCATACAGTGAGCACTTCAGATTATTTGTTGAATGGATAAATGTATAAAATATGATTTTATAGTATCTCCTATTGATATTTTTCTCTTACCTAAGGAACTAATTATTCAAGTAAACATTTAACCTAAGAAAAAGTAAGTGTCTCAAACCAAACATGGCTAAAATAGATAATAGTAATGACACAATATTTACTGAATAAGTAAATTCCAGGCACTAGTCTAAGCTCCTTAAGATTATCAGTTTATTTAAGCTTTACAAAAACTCTGTGAGGTAGGTGCTACTATTATCTACACTTTACAGACAAGGAAACTAAAGCACAGAGCGGTGAAACATTTCTCCCACAGTCACACAGCTTGTAAGAGGAAGAGCCAGTACTCAAATCTGTGTCATCCAGCTACAAAGCCTGCATTTTCCCCAGAATTATTTTTTCTTCATCATTGAGCCAAAATATTATGGTCAAATCCTTTGGATATAAGAGAATTTTTGGAGAAATTTGAATTCCTTTTCTGTACCTAAGCCTCCTTTGATCTGAAATTGGTAAACAAAGGGTCTCTATGCTTTGAGTATGAGGCTTTGCACTCTCCTTGCCTGACTCTGTTGTTCCCACGAAACAGTCAATACAAAGCTGGACCCTCAAGACTTTTGAGAGGAGGAGGTGGGAGTGGGAATAAGGAACTTGAAGAGGGAGCTGCTAAGTAATTAGTAAAGACGCCACCTCCTAATCACAGACAACACAAGTCATTGGCAATTACTTTCTGATCATAAAAAAGAGCCATGTGTTGTTCTGTGGGTAGGTGCTCTGTGGGTGATGCAGAATGTGGGGAAAGGAGCAGAGAGAAAGAAGAAAAGAAGCGGGGGTAAGATAAGGAGGGAGGAAGAGAAGATGAAAGAAGGAAGGGGAGAAGAGAGAACGAGGGAAGGAGGGAGGAAGAGAGAGATGCAGGGAGGGTACAAGGGATGGAGGGTGCGGTGCTGGGGAAGCTCTCGGAGGATTTAAACTTTGGAGATGTGTGGGATTTGCTGCTCTGTACTGATCTCTGCTGAATTCTCTCCCAGCTCCACTCTGTGAACCCGCCGGTGAGTTGCACTTCCTTTTCTTCTTCAAGGTCTGTGGGTATTTTGTTACTTAGGTCAGCACAGGAGGCCTGCGGATTGCTGTCTTAGCAGCCCCTTCCTGCCCAAAACATATCAGGGTGACAACTACTGAGGCGTACAAACATCAGTGACTCCCTTGGGCCTGGGCTGCTCTGTCTTCACATCAGTCTCTGCACCTGACACACGTCTGCTCAGTGGAGTGAATAGGTCTTGCTCTGACCTTCTCAAGAACACAGTCTTATTTCTGGGAAGTCCCAGCACAGGGAGGGAGACACTGTTTGCACAAGGAAGGCAAAGGGTGCTGAAGATTCACGCTAGAAGCATCTCTGTCCTCCCAGCCTCAGGAGCTCCAATTCCCAGTTGTGCTCCTCGGCTGGGTGTATCACCATGGGTGATGAAGGAAATGCCGAAATCACGCATCCACGGAGAGCATTAGAGTGAATCCTCCAGCCATGTGTGGAATGAAGTAGTACTGCTGCCTCCTTCCTATTTTTAGCTCTCCTCTGCAGCCACACCTGTTACCCCAACTCATTTTCTCTTTCAGACTCTGGTTTATGCAAACTTACTTCATTGCTCTGATCCTGACTCAAAGTCTTACCTTTACCAGAGGAGGAGAGTAGAGACTTCCTTTCCCCACCAAGGACTCTTCATTAGATCATGCTCAATGTTAAAAATGTAAAAATTGCTATCTTGTGCAGAAAAGACTAGCCACAGAGTTAAAAGAGATTGTCCTGCCACCTCAAGAACATCAGCTGCAAGTGCAACTAGGGAACACAAGTTCTCAAGTACCCTAGCAATTCCTGTGACCAGAAAGATTCAGAGAGATTCAGAGTCAGTCTAGCCTTCCAGGTTCCTTATCTAATGTTTGTCCAAGTCTAACTCACGACTTGTATTAATACCATGCATGCCTTTTGTCTGGTCTCATCTTTACCCCTAAGCCCAAGTGCCCAATCCCAGCCTAAGCAGAAATCCAAAGCCATATTAAAGATGAGGAAACCAAGTTTCTGTCACCAGGTATTTTCCAGATAGTCTCTGCTATCTAAGAATTATCTGAAACAAGTTCTGAGCTATAAGACTGAGTTCCAGACCCTTGCAATCCGCCCTGTCCAGTTTCCCACTTCATCACCACTCTAGCCTCATTGAGAACAGTGGGTTACAGACGCCCAAATACTAAATGCCCCCTCGCTTTTTTTTTTCTGAGACAGAGTCTCACTCTATTGCCCAGGCTGAAGTGCAGTGGTGTGATCTCAGCTCACTGCTACCTCTGCCTCCTGGATTCAAATGATTCTCCTGCCTCAGCCTTGGGAGTAGCTGGAACTACAAATGCACGCCACCATGCCTGGCTAATTTTTGTATTTTTAGTAGAGACAAGGTTTTGCCGTGTTGGCCAGGCTGGTTTTGAACTCCTGACCTCAGGTGATCCACCAGCCTTGGCCTTCCAAAGTAGTGGGATCACAGCCGTGAGCCCCCATGCCTGGCCTAAATACCTTTTTATTTATTGCCCTGCCTAGCTCCAAGAGCTGTGCTACTGGTCAGTCTTCTGGGGACCACAGTTTTCCAAGGAAAGACAGTGACTCTAAGATATTCCATGCCTCAGGACAAAGCGAATATTCTAGTACTATGGATGGAACTGATGTTTAAAAGTTTCCAAAAAAAAAAAAAATTCAGCAGAAAAAAACTTAGAGATTACAGATATTGAACTAGGAATCACCCCTTAGTAATCCAAAGCACTTGTCATTTTCATCTGGTGAGGAAAGAAAGAAGTTTTGTCTTAGGGAAAGTATAATATTTTTCAAGAGGCAGAGGCTCTGAGGGTTGAATAAAGAAATGTCCACACAGCCCATATCTATTAGGTGTTGTGACATTTCTATGGGCTGCTGCAAACTGGGGAGATGAGGAGAGAGCAGAGCACAACTTTATCATCTTATCACCAGAAAAGAGCCCCAGGCCAGGAGCGGTGCCTCACCCCTGTACTTAGTACTTTGGGAGGCCAAGGCGGTAGGATCACTTCAGCCCAGGAGTTTGAGACGAGCCTGAGCAACATAATAAGACTTTGTCTCTAAAAAAAAATAAATAAAATGAGCTGGGCTTGGTGGCATGTGTCTCTAGTCCCAGTTACTTGAGAGGCTGAGGTGAGATAACTGTTTGAGCCCAGGAAGTTGAGGTTGCAGTGAGCTGAGATAGCATCACTGAACTCTAGCCTGAGAGTCAGAACATGATCCTGTCTCAAAAAAAAAGAAAAAGAAAAAAAAAAAAAAAAAAGAAAAGAAAAGAAAAAGAAAAAAAAAAGAAAAAGAAAAGAGCCCCTAATACCCCAAAGGATTAAATTAGCTCTTTAGATCATGGTTTCTACAGAGGTTTATAGAGAAGCTGTGTGGATGATGGGTACTGGGCATTTCCAAGCAAATACACCCCATTTCTTCTAATGGAAACAGCAATAATAGGGGCAGGACAGAGTCAGCAATGAGGGGATTAGATTCTCCTATGTCTTTCCTGGACAGATCAACCCTGCAGGTCCCATATTCTGTTTTTGAAAAAGATAGTGTGGTTCTGAGATGCCAGGGGAAAGGGAACAGAAGAAGATAATGAATATGGCTTACAAGGATAAAAGAAGCATATTCACTTTGAATAAAACTTCAAGCTTCACCATCTCCAATGCCAACTCCAGTGACAGTCTTCAATATTATTGTACTGGCTTCAAGAAAGGTACTTTTGGTTTATGGATAGGAACTTCAAAAAATAATAAGATCCAAGTTAAAGGTAAGGGTTACTTTCTGCAAGATAACACTGCAAAGGGGCAGGATGTACCAGGCGTGAGCAGGGTGAGTTCATGGAAGGCCCATGGGCCAGTGCGGGGTGGTGGAGGCATGTGGAGTGGCCTGTGTATCCAACTGGCTGTTTCTTTGAGTCTTGTTGACAAGTGCTGTGACACAAAGTGCCTCTTACCAGAAACTCTGAACTCCGTTAATCATTTGTGTTTAATTCCTCTCTCTAGAGCTGTTGTTGATAGTCAGCCCCTCCCATCCCACAGAGGGGAGCCCAGTGACCCTGACGTGTAAGATGCCCTTTCTACAGAGTTCAGATGCCCAGTTCCAGTTCTGCTTCTTCAGAGATGCCCAGGCCTTGGGCCCGGGCTGGAGCAGCTCCCCCAAGCTCCAGATCGCCAACATGTGGAAAGAAGACTCAGGGTCCTACTGGTGCGAGGCACAGACAATGGCATCCAAAGTCTTGAGGAGCTGGAGATCCCAGATAAATGTGCACAGTGAGTGTCAGTGGGGTCAGTCTGCCAGGATAGGCTGAGAAGAGCAGTGGCAAGAGGCTAATCCTCACTGTTATGGGTTATATCTCTGCAAGAGTAGGAGCTGTTTGAAAGATATTCCTGAGTTTCTCTCATTATTAGGATCCTTAAGGGATCTTCCCTTATTCAGTCTGTTTCCATTCAGGCAAACAGAGAGTATTTAGGAAACCCTTACTGTGTGTCTTCACTGTGCTGGAGGGTGTGGGAGAAGAGCTGCATAATGTTTGGTCCCTGACTACGCGAAGTTGATGCTCAGCCAGCACTCTGAATGACTAGGGTTAAATATGTGACGCTGCATTGTGTAGGACTGGCTGTCGACTACAGACAAGGGGGATAAAGGACTGAGGTACTCAGAGAAGGCTTTGCCGAAGGAATGTGTAGAATAGGTTACCGGAGCAGGGCTTATGGAAGGGCAGTTGGAGCTTGATTTCCAAAATATAGAAAGAAAAGAGTGCTTTGTAATTCATCTTGTTATTCCACGTCAGCGTTGACAATTCCAACATCCTCTGCCATTCTATCATGCCATGAAGCAAATGTCTAATACTTCCAAAAGGCTGTGCTCTCCCACACTTGTTGAAAACTCAATACTGGTGAAACTGGACCACCACCAGCACAATAATCATTGAGCAGTTTATACATGGCAGTCCCTATCTTAATGCTTCACAGATATTGTGTAATTGTGAACCCTCCAACTGCAGGAGATAACTGTCATTACCAGCAATCTTTTACATATGGGAAATTGTATCTCAGAGAAGTTGAGTAATTTGATCAAGCACACACAGCGAGTAAAAGAGTTGGAACCACTCTTCAAACAAGGCAGTTCGATTTACAATTTGGACTTATAATCACTTTACTATACTATTGTGCCTTGAAAAAATGAAAGTTTGAGAGATTAGGGTAGTGGAAGTCACACTGTTCTAAGGAGAGAGCTGATGCTACACCTTCTATAGTAATACTATGGTGTCTTTCTTATCCTATCACCATCACCCAACCAATCAGCAGACCCTTCCCCCTCACCCAAATTAAGCTATATATGTCATTGACTTCACTCATGCTCTTTGCTTTCAGGACTATCACATCTACTTACTGTCTTTGAAACTCTCCCTACTCAGGGTCTTCATATGTCATCTTCTGTTCACACAGGGGTCCCTGTTGCTGATGTGAGCTTGGAGACTCAGCCCCCAGGAGGACAGGTGATGGAGGGAGACAGACTGGTCCTCATCTGCTCAGTTGCTATGGGGACAGGAGACATCACCTTCCTTTGGTACAAAGGGGCTATAGGTTTAAACCTTCAGACAAAGACCCAGCGTTCACTGACAGCAGAGTATGAGATTCCTACAGCAAGGGAGAGTGATGCTGAGCAATACTACTGTGTAGCTGAAAATGGCTATGGTCCCAGACCCAGTGGGCTGGTGAGCATCACTGTCAGAAGTAAGTTCCACTACCCTCCATTCAGCCAGCCAGTCACAAACTGGGCTCCACGTTTCCCTGGGGCACACAAAGTTTCCCTGGGGCATGCTGAGGAAGTTCAATGGGGCTGAGCATCGGTGGGCAGGGATTATGGGTTTACTGCATTGTCAGAGACTGTCTCTTACAGCCTACTATCTCCCTTAGTCCCAGTGTCTCGTCCCATCCTCATGCTCAGGGCTCCCAGGGCCCAGGCTGTGGTGGGGGATGTGCTGAAGCTTCACTGTGAGGCCCTGAGAGGCTCTCATCCGATCCTGTACTGGTTTTATCATGAGGATGTCATCTTGGGGAGCAGCTCAGCCCCCTCTGGAGGAGGAGCCTCTTTCAACCTTTCCCTGACTGCAGAACATTCTGGAAACTACTCCTGTGAGGCCAACAATGGCCTAGGGGCCCAGCGCAGTGAGGAGGTGACACTCAACTTCACAGGTATAGCTCAGGCTATGGAACTGTGTTGGTCAATGTCTCCTTCCCAGCATCCTGGGAGAGTTTTGCTGGTTCCACTATGCTTCCGGCGGTGTGCTACCAACGGTGGGGCCTCTGTGTGAGGTGCTGTCATGAGTGATGTATCGGAGGGGCGTGGAGAACTCAAGGTTGGGTGCCTCTCTTCTCTTTTCATAAATGTGATAAACCACAAGTCCCCAGACAAATAAATCGCCACTTGGAAGAGCAGACCTTGGGTACAACCCACACCCAAGATGTCTGCTCTCTAAGCCCCAAGCCCTTCCTCTGAGCAGATCATGCACAAGTCTCTCCCTCTAGTGCCTACTGGGGCCAGAAGCAATCATCTTACCTCAGGAGTCATTGAGGGGCTCCTCGGCACCCTTGGTCCTGCCACTGTGGCCTTATTATTTTGCTACGGCCTCAAAAGAAAAATAGGTTAGTTTTTAAAAGAGAATGGCATTTTGTTACTGTGATCTTTGTTTTCACTGAAATTGTGACATGTATACCGCAAAAGATGTATATGCTGTTAACCACCTTGCCTGTGAATCTGCCAAAAACCCCAGCAGATAGGAACAGTGCCTATTAACATAGTGTAACATTTTTGGTAAAGTTCTCCACCCCTCATGTGCTATCAATTGAGGTTCGAGTGATATTTTGTGCTTCTGTGATTTAACTTTTATACAAAAATGTAATGATTTGGCCAGGGGCGGTGGCTCACGCCTGTAATCCCAACACTTTGGGAGGCTGAGGTGGGCAGATCACGAGGTCAGGAGATCGAGACCATCCTGGCCAACATGGGGAAACCCCGTCTTTACTAAAAATAGAAAAATTAGCTGGGTGTGGTGGTGCATGCCTGTAATCCCAGCTACTTGGGAGACTGAAGCAGAAGAATCACTTGAACCAAGCAGTCAGAGGCTGCAGTGAGCTGAGATCGCACACTGCACTCCAGCCTGGTGAAAAAGCAAGACTCTCTTTCAAACAAACAAACAAACAAACAAACAAATGTAACTATTTAAAATAATTTGCCACAAAAGAGAAATATGATTAGCAGTTCCAGCTATCCTGACTATGTCCCAGTACTAAAGTCAGTGCATCAATTCTTAGTCACCTTCAAGTATTGTCACATGCTTTTTCTTCTCTCTGAAATGCATGTTCACACGTCCACATGTTCTACTTATTGCTGGAAATTTCTCAACTTTCCTCTGAAATGTCATTTTTTCCAAGAGGCTTTGCCTGGCCTGCACAGCCTGCAATTGTCCTCTCCTGTTATGAGTTCCAAGTTATTTAGATTCACATGTTATCACAATTGGTAATTACATATTTATTTATATATTTAACCTTGGTCTCCTCTTCACTGAGGAAGTTGGAGACAGGGCAAGAGAGGACACTACGAGATTCTCATTTAAATTCCAAGCTTTTCTGACATCTTTGGGTACCTCACACCATCTATAGCATGGTTATGGCAGCACCTGCCTCCAAGGACTTTTGTCACAATAAGATTGGGTGGTGTGGTTGTAAAACAAAACCAAAACATACAATAAATGTACAAGTTTAGAGACTTGGGTCCCAGATCCTAGATCTGGTACTAACTGGCTTTGGGAATCTCACTTAATTATTCAGGACTCGAGTTTCCGTCTGTGAAATGAAGGCTCTGGAAATAATTGCCAGGATGTCTGCTGGGCACACAGTGGCACCCGCAATGGGCATCTAAGCATGAGGCATATCCCTGTGCAGGGTGTATAAGAGCACTGACAGTGAGGGTTCTTCCATTTATGTGTATGCTCATTTGTTTGTTTTGCAGGAAGACGTTCAACCAGGGATCCACTCAGGTGAGGCCTGTTTTCGCTATATGTGCCAATAATGCGGAAAAATCTATTTTAAAAATAGATTTAGATTTGTTCTCTCCTGAACTTTTTTTTCTGTTTTGTTATACCCAGAACTCACTCCTGAGTTCTCCTACTGGCAGCTTTGAACAATTCATCGTCACTTCCCTTCTTTTAGATTTCGTACATTAACAATTTTAAATCTTTTTGTCATTTTTCCTATTGATCCCTTTCAATACCACTGCAGAATATTAAAATCACATTGCAGCTGGGCACGGTGGCTCACACCTGTAATTCCAGCACTTTGGGAGGCTGAGGTGGGTGGATCACCTGAGCTCAGGACTCCAGACCACCCTGGGCAACATGGTGAAACCCCATCTGTACCAAAATACAAAAAATTAGCTGGGCATGGTGGTGCATGCCTGTAGTCTTAGCTACTCAGGAAGCTGAGGCAAGAGAATCCCTTGAGTTTGAGAGGTGGAGGTTGCAGTGAGCCAAGATGGCACCACTGCACTTCAGCCTGGGTGACAGAGCGAGACTCTGTCTCATAAATAAATAAATAAAAATAAAATCACATAGCTTTCACCAGGATCATGCATTCATTCAATCAGTCAACCAATATTTGAGGATCTGTAAGCCATTCCGTTGAGTGCTGAGAGGTGTGAAAATATAAAAAACTCTTGAAAGTTTTAAAGTATTTTAGGGTAGGTAAGATACATGTACATTTCTGGAATGTAAGACAGACAGGAATAAACATACCGAACAGTTATTGGTGAAATTCTTTAGATGTTTAGAGGAGGAAAATATTTTTTTTAAATACTCCCATCTAGAGATACCAATGTTTAGTTGTCTTTTTAATATAATGTATTATCATTTATGCCAACAATAAACAGATTTTTTTTTTTCAAATGAGAGTAGCACTCTTTCACTGGTACCTGCACAAGAAGCAGCATTTTCTTTTGCCCCTTCCTCAAGTTGCTTGTTCTGCCAAGCGAAGTGTTTTCCATCTGGAGTGAGTCAATATTTATTCGTTCAATATTTAGGGAGCACTCATGATGCAAATGACACTATTCTGGGAATGGGCAATACCATGCCTTACGCTCATGTGCTTGGTCTGCAGTGCCCCACAGCCTGTGCAGAGGGCCATGGCTCGTGCCACACTGCTGTGCCTTCTAGCTGCTCATTTCCCCATAACTCAGTATTCTCCTCAGGACCATTTGTCGTAGGCTTCCCTCCTTCAGTGTGATGTCTGCATTATCTGGGATGTAATTTCAGATAAGTAACATGTGTCTCTGTGCTTGCAGGAGCCTTCCCAGCCCTGTACCCCAAGAGTTCCCCTACCTCAACTCACCTACCCCAGGACAGCTACAGCCTACATATGAAAATGGTGAGCCTTTCCAAATGACCCAGGCCAAAGTTGGTACAGCAGGCTTGGGAAGTGACAATGGGATAACATCTGCTAGCCAGACCTGACTTTGCTGTGCCCCAGCCTCTACTGCAAACAAATGACTCATCTGTCTTCATGGCTGTGACAGGTGGAAGGTATGGAGTAATTTTAAAGACAGGAATCAGGAGCTGTGTCATGAAGTCTCCTTCCTTCTCTTGCAGTGAATGTTGTAAGTGGGCACGATGTTTATTCGTTGGTGTACTATAACCAGCCGGAGCAGGAATCAGCAGCAGGTGAGACACGGGGGAGTAAATTCGTCTCTAACTTTTGTCTTTCCTAGAACCAAGAGAACAATCACTGGCTGTGCATGGCAGACAACAGCATTCCTCAGAGCAGAAGGCTGTGAGCATCACTGTGTATACTTAATGGCTGTCCTTGGGTCTGGAGCTACCTTGAGTAGAGCCCAGAGCTAATGCTAAGGTTCTTTCTTTTCTCTGGGGCTGGGCTTTCAAATTTCTTAAATTATAGTCACTTAGAAAGAGCAAAAATCCCATTATGGCCTGCCTCTTCCCAACCTCCCAACACAATGGAGATAAAAACATGTAGTTAACAATAAGGTGTCATTGTAAGGCCTACATTTTATGCCTCACTCCTCAGTCATGTGGCAGCATCAGAGGTGATGGCTTCTGCCTGCCCTCTTTGAGTAGCCTGACACGATCCTCATAACCCCAGCACAGCTGCCTAGCTGGTGCTCTTGTCCCATCCTACACATGGTCGGCCCAGAATAGCTGAGACGTATAAAGGCCCTTCCTGGCATAGGGGCTCTACTTACCTTCCCGCCCCCAGGCTGCCAATTTTCCTCTGGCTACTAAAGGAATCACACTTGTGATAAACAGAAAAACAAGACAGAAAATATTAATGGAAATCAATTAATGGGAAATAGATGGGAGAGGAAGAAGCTTTTCTTAACACAAGTTTAATGAAGGACTTTAAATGTAAGTGGAATGTCATAGCACTTGCCTTTTCTCCGCAGCAGAAACCCTGGGGACACATACGGAGGACCAGGTAAGAGTCTCTATTGTTCTCTTCTCCATGTTCTTTCTTTCTTCTGGGGACTGGTTCTCAAACTTCTTAAATTGTAGCCACTTAGAGCAAAAATCCCATGGTCTACCTCTTCTCTATCTCCCAACGCAATTGAGGTAAAAACATGTAGTTACAACAATAAAGGGTCATTGTACAAGGAAATTTTGGAGGCTTACAACTTCACTTACTTTAGCAATGCACACATGAATGATTTTTAGTTAAACTAGAGTGCATACCTAGTCTCAAAATTCTATTTATTGGAAAATCTTTATCCTCAAATATTATTGAGCCATACATCCATCACTTTGTATTATAAGGTTAACCAAACAATCTACAGCAACTAAATTAATATTGAACAAACCTAAGTTAATAGTAATTTGTGTCACTAAAAATTAGCATTTGGTAAACTTTGAATAATTCAAGATATCGCTGATACAAAAACACTTCCTTAAAACTGCAGAAATTCCAACTCTGTGCATGTGTGCAAAAACAGTAGGTGCTTTGCAGTTTTGTCTAGTGTAGTGTGGCAGCCAAATATCTCAGGACAAAATTCAAATCCTTGGTAAACTCCAGTGACATGCTAAATTTAATTTATGAACATAAAATTCTGACAACCTTTTAAAAGATGACAGCCCAGGGGGCTGCCAAACAATGGCCCATAAGAATGAGGAAAGGCATTGTATGTTTGCATCAGTTTGCAGCTTATCAGGATCATCTCTGTAGTCCACCAGTGGGATACAGGCACTCTGAAAATGCTGGCCTTGGACCACAGTTTTTTAAGAGGCCCTGATTTTTGCATTGTGTGATGAGCCATGATAAGATGCATCCAAGCTGACTGGGGAAGAGGACCAGCGGAGGCATATTCTGCTTTTCTTCCCTGTTCTAGTCTTAACCTTTGCTTCCAGGTTTCCTTAGACATCTATTCCAGGCTGAGGAAAGCAAACATTACGGATGTGGACTATGAAGACGCTATGTAAGGTTATGGAGGATTCTGCCCTTTGAAAGCCATCCATGACCCCAAGCCTCAGACCTGATATGTTCTTCAGAGATCCTGGGGCATTAGCTTTCCAGTATACCTCTTCCGGATGCTATTCTCCGTGGCACTATTCCTTCATCTACTGATCTACTGTGAAGTGAAGTTGGCGCAGCCCTAAAGAAACTACCTAGGAGAACCATAGACACAGGAGTGACAGGAACTTTGTTATCAGAACCAGATTCCTGCTGGCTCTTTTGAGAAAGGTCAACTTGTGCTCTTCTATTTACAAGAGAAAACAGGATGGAATAAAATAAATTAGGATCTTGGGGTGGAGGGACAGTGAAGCTTAGAGCACATGAACTCAAGGTTAGTGATTCTGCAGGACTTCACCGAGAGAGCTGTGACCATCATCATTCAGTCCAAGTGCTTTCTCTGCCCAGACAGCACAGAACTCCAGCCCTGCCACTTACATGGGTCATCGAGTTTCCTAAAATATGATTCTATTTATTTTGAGTCACTGTTACCAAATTAGAATTAAAACAAAGTTACATAAAAAGTTATTGTGATTACACTTAATTTTAGTCACATATTCTGTATATATAGGCCAACCTATACCACATCCAAAATTATGTATCTACTACAGCCCCTAGAAGTTTTATGAATATAGTGTGTCTTTTTTTATTCACAAAATTTTTGAAATCTTGGTAATATGGTTTGAAGTCTGTATCTTATTTTTTCTTTTTTAAATTTGAGACAGGGTCTCACTCTGTCACCCAATTTGGAATGCAGTGGCACAGTCTCGCCTCACTGCAACCTCTGCCTCTCAAGCTCAAGCAAACCTCTCACCTCAGCCTCCTAAGTGGCTGGGACTACAGGCACATGCCACCAAATCTGGCTGATTTTCGTCTTATGTACAGACCAGATGTCACCATTTTGCCCAGACTGGTCTCAAACTCCTGGGCTCAAGCAATGTATTTTAATTTTAAAACAACCAGACACTCATTCTTATGAATGAATAAACATTTGGAGGTATATAAAGTAAAAAGTTAAAGTCTTTCCTGTAAGTTAACACAAATGTTTACTATTGCTAAAACCTTTACAGGTAGCTCTCTAGATAATTTTCTATTTTTGTGTACATACTTATACATACATGTAAGTATATAAACATTTAGAAGTCTACCTATCTAACAAACTATCATGAAATATTTTCAAATAGATCTATTATACTGTTTTAAAAGTCTCAATAGTAGTGTGTTATATAGATAAATCATAACTTTTTTCTTTTTTATTGTAGTAAAGATACATAACATAAAATTGATCATTTTAACCATGTTTAAGTGTACAGTTCAGTGGCATTAAGTACTATCATAATATATTTTAATCCTTCTCACCACTGGTGGACATTAAAGAGGTTCCAAAAAAATTCATATTATAAAAACAAAGTTCAAACAAATGTCTTTGTACAAGCATATTATGCACTCCTGCTGGACTATCTGAAGGATAAATTTGTAAATCTAGTATTGCTAGATTATGCATATTAAATATTCTTGTTAAATAGTCTTCAATGTCTCTAAGGTAAGCCTGTGTCAATTTATATCTCCACCGATAACATCTGGGAAATCAGTTTGTGGGGTGTGTTCGTTAGTTCTCACATTGCTAACAAAGACATACCCAAGACTGGGCAACTTACAAAGGAAAGAGGTTTAATTGACACACAGTTCCAAATGGCTAGAGAGGCCTCCGGACACTTACAATCATGGCAGAAGAGGAAGCAAACACGTCCTTCTTCACATGGCAGCAGGAGAGAGAAAGAGTCCTGTGTTCAGCCTTTGCCCATTTTCTATGTCATTTGTGTTTTTCTTACAGTTTTTATAGGAACTATTTATTAAGGTATAATTTATAACAGTGAAATACACAGATTCTATGTGCATAGTTCCATCAATTTGACAAATGTATGCATTCAAGTAATCCAAACCCTTATCATGATTTTCATCACTCTAGAAAGTTCCCTCATACTCATGTCCAGTCTATTTATGCCACTCTGAAAACAACTACTGAACATTATGCTTTTGACCATTTCTCTATTGTACGTGATGCCAATGTTTTTGTACAATCTTTCAGTTCACTTTTTGTTTACAGTGAATTTTAAAATATGGAAGGTTAGTTTTTGCACAGCTGAATTCAATTTTTTAAAATCTTGGCTTCTAAGTTTCCTATATTTCTGTCATTTTCTATCAGACCATGTTGCCATGTTATAAAACATTCTAATATTTTCTTACAATGCCTCCATAGTTTTATTATATATTCACTCAATACATTATGTGTATATGTGGTATGAGGTAAGAATCTAACTTTTACTGTTTTTATCTTTATGTATTTTTTTAATTTAAAATGAGGGGTAGGGATTTAACTTTTTTTCAAACACATATAAATTGTTCACTACTGTTTATTTAAATAGTCTGTTCTTTTCCCTTTTATTATTATTCTATTTTATCTCACCTAAATTCAACCTAAGCCTGTTTTGGACTCCAACTAATACTACAGATCTTCCTACCACTCTTCCCCTTGCATAATTCACTTCAAACACATTAGCCTCAGGTTTCCTCAGGCACATCAAATTTAGTCCCAGCTCAGAACTCTGTACTTTCTATTTCCATGCTTTCATGTTCTTTCTCTTGATATCCTTGCTTTCTTATTTTCTTCATTTACATTTTCTGTTTTGATTTTCTGTTTCTGGTCCATGGACATTTTCATTTTCTTTTTATAAAACTAACACAGCTTTTTTACATTTTATATTTTGCCTGCCAGTGCCATGTGCCTGGAGCTCATGGAGGGCCTCAAAGGATGAAATTGGAGTATCATGTGATCAGGAGTTTAAACTTGTTTGTATTGTATGATCATCCCTTCTTTACCTTAATACTCACATTAAACATTATCTATGGCTTCTTACATTCCACTTCTTCTTAATCAATTTCTTTCTTTAAGAACTTAAACTTTCCCATCATTTCTGATAGGGTCTGTGAGTTTATTTGTCCAAAAAGTCCAAAAGCAGAATTTAAGATCAATAGCATAGCTTTGTGCATAACAGTTGTCATATTTTATTCTATGGTCTTCTAGCTTCTACTGCTTTCTTTGAGAAATCTATTTAATTGTTGTTTCTTTATAATTAATCTATCTTTTCTCTCCAGTTGCCTTTAAGACTTTTATATTTGATATTATGCAGTTTCACTATGATTTGTCTAAATGTGGATTTATTTTGCTAGAGATTAATAACTCAAGTCGAAGGTATCATGCCTTTTTTCAAGTTTAGAAAATATTCAGTTATTATCTCTTTATTATTATGCTGCTGCAGCATTATTTGAATCCTTTCCCTCAGAAATTTATGTTAGAAATTTCCTAGACTTCATTCTATTCTCATGACTCTTAATTAGTCTTGCCAAATTTTCATTTCATTATCACTCATTGCATTTTAGGTAATTTCTTAATCTCTATCTTCCAGTTTGCTAGTTCTTTCTTCAACTGTTTGTCTATTTTATTGTTTAACCTATTTATTTTCTATTTCAATGATTACATTTTTTGAGATTTTATTAGCAAAATGGTTGAAAGGATGGTTTCAGAGGATTGTCTGGATTTACATTTTGCCTCCATTATTTACTAGCTCTCCAGTTTTGGTTAAATTAATTAACCTTTTGTGCTTCTTGATGTGTAAAATTGAAATAACAATTGTATATAAATAAATATAGTGTTGTTTTGGTAACTCAGTAAAATTATTTGTGTAAAATGCTTAAGACAGTGCCTGAAATGACATTGAGTCCTCAAAAAATAAATTATTATTAGCATTATTATCATTCCTTCACAGAGTTTTTTGTTATTTGTTGTTGTGTTTTACTATTATTGGCTTAACACTTGATTTTATGATTTTTAACAAGCTTAAAGTTTAAATACACTGTAATTCTCAGATAAATCTACTACTTGAAGTTTTAGACATTTAATCCTGAGTTTATCACATATTTTATTTTATTTATATTTATTTATTTAATGTATTTATATTTATTATAATATTTTTAGAGACAGAATCTCACTCTATCACCCAGGCTGTAGCACAGTGGCATGATCATAGTTTTGCTGCAACCTCAAACTCCTGGACTCAAGCAATCCTCCCACCTCAACCCCCCAAGTAGCTGGAACTAGTGGTGCACCGCCATCCCCAGCTAAGTTTTAATTTTCTTTTTCTAGAGATGGGGTCTTACTATGTTGCTCAGACTGGTCTTGAACTCTAGCCTCTACCAATCTGTCTTCCTCTCACATATTTAAACCTTGTTTATGGTAGTTTGGTAGATTTTGTGATTTTACATTGAGAAGTGTCCTGTACAATGTGGGGATTCCATGTGGCCTGGGTTCCTTTATTTTTTGCGTGTGTGTGAAGGCTATTATGGTATTATTGGCAAATAAACATTGTATATATTTATGGTACACAATGTGATGTTTTGATATATGTATACATTGTGAAATGATTAGATTTGGCTAATTAACATATACATCACTTTGCATACTTACCATTTTTTATAGTGGGAACATTTACAAGGTAATCTTTTAGCAGTCTTCAAATATAGAATACATTACTATTAACTGTAACACCATGCTGTATAATAGATCTCCAAAACTTTCTAACTGAAATGTTACATCCTTTGTCCAATAACTCCCCATTGCCCCGCAATCCCTGGCAACCACCATTGTACTCTTTGCTTCTATGAATTGGAGTTATTTAGATACCACAGGTAAGTGAGATCATGTGGTATTTGTCTTTTGGTGCCTGACTTACTTCACTCAACATAGTGCTCTTCAGATTCATCTACATTGTCATAAATGATATAAGTTCCTTCTTTTTGAAGGCTGAATAGTATTACATTGTGTATACATACCACATTTTAAAAATCCATTCTTTCGTTGATGGACAGGGAAGTTGATTCCATATCTTGGTTATTGTAATGCTGCAGTGAACATGGGAGTGCAGATATCTTTTTGACATACTGATTTCATTTCCTTTGTATGTAAACCCAGTAGTGAGATTGCTGGGTCATATGGTAACTCTATTATTATAATGTTTTCTATAATGAATGTTTTAATTTACATTCCCACAGACAATTCCCTTTTCTCTACAACCTTGGCAACACTTGTAATCTTTTGTCTATTTGATAGTAGACATTCTAACAGGTATGAGGTGCTATTCCACTGTGGTTTTAATTTGCATTTCTCTGATGATTAGTAATGTTTAATATATACCTGTTTTATATACCTGCTGGCCATTTGTGTGTCTTCTTTTGAGTAATATCTATTCAGGTTCTTTGCCGACTTTTTAACTGAATTATTTGTTTCCTTGTTTACATGAGGTTCTTATATATTTGGCATACTAACTCTTGTCAGATATATGGTTCGCAGATACTGTCTTTGTTTTTTTTTTGTTTTTTGTTTTTTGGTTTTGCCGATAATTTTGAGAACAGATACAAAAAAATCTTTGTCAAGATTGAAGTCAAGAAGTTTTTCCTTATGTTTTCTCCAGTATTTTACAGTTTCAAGTTTTAACATTTAAGTCTTTAAGTTGATTTTTGTGTATAGTGTAGGATAAGCATCCAATTTTATTATTCAGCATGTAGATACCCAGTTTTCCCAACACCATTTATTGAAAACACTGTCCTTTCCCCATTGTGTGTTCTTGTTCCTGTTCTTGTGTGTACTTTGCCAAAGATCAATTGAGCATAAATTTGTGAAATTATTTATGGGCTTTCTACTCAGTTCTATTGGTCTATATTTCTGCATTTATGCCGTTGCCATTCTTGTTTGATTATTAAGCTTTGAGTACATTTTGAAATCAGGTAATGCAATACCTCTAGCTTTGTTCTTTCTGCTCAAGAACAAATTTCACCATGTCAAATTAAATGGCATTAAATTTTAGCAGAATTAGTTTGCTAAATTGTTTTTTGTATTGGGGCCTTTTGTGGTTCCATACAAATTTTAGGATTTTTTTCTGTTTGTTAAAAATTTTATTCAAAATTTAATAGGAATTACATTAAATCTGTGATCTCTTTGGGTAGTATGAACATTTTAACAGTACTAATTCTTTCAATCCATTTATTTGTATCTTCTTCAATGTCTTTCACCAACATTTTATAGTTTTTGGTATAGAGACTTTTCATTTACCTGGTTAAATTTATTCCTAAGTATGTTATTCCATTTTATATGGGATTGTCTTCTTGATTTCCTTTTTCAGATAGTTTGTTGTTAGTGTATAGAAATGCTACTGATTTTGTATGTTAAAGTTATATCTTGTATACTACTGTATAACAGTTTTTTGGTGGAGTCTTTATGGTTCCCTGTGTGTAAGATCATGTCATCTTCAAGCAGAGACAACTGTACTTCTTCCTTTTCCATTTTGATGCCTTTGGGATTTTTTTCTTGCTTACTTGCTCTAGTTTGAACTTCCAGAACTATGTTGAAAAGAAGTGGTGATAGTGGACATCCTTGCCTTGTTCCTGAGCTTAGAAAAAGAGCTTTAAGTTTTCACCATTGAGTATGATGTTAGCTGTGGGCTGTGATATATGGCCTATATCATGTTGAGGTACATTCCTTCTATCCTAATGTGTTGAGAGTTTTTATTATAAAAGGATGCTAAATGTTTTACAGTGCTTTTTTTGCATTTATTTGCATTTGCATTTATTGAGATGATTATATAGTTTTTGTACTTCATTTTGTTAATGTGATGTATCAATTTATTGATTTGCTTATGTTGAATCATCCTTGCATGCCAGGGATAAATTCCACTTGATATTATGGTGAATGATTCTTTGAATGTGCAGTTGAATTTGGTTTGCTAGAATTTTGTTGAGGATTTCTGCATCTATGTTCATCAGGGATTTTGGCCTGTAGTTCCTTTTCTTGTAGTGTCCTTGTCTTGTTTGGGTATTAGAGTAATGCTTACCTTATAAAATGAGTTTAGAAGTATTCTGTCCTCAAATGTTTTGCAATAGTTTGAGAAGGATTGGTGTTAGTTCTTTTTAAAAATTGTTGGTAGAATTCAGCCCTGAAGGTAACAGGTCCTGCGCTTTTCTTTGATGGGAGATTCTTTAAATTGCTGATTCAATTTTCTTACTCATTTTTGGCCCATTCAGGTTTTCTATTATTTCATGTTCAATCTCAGTAGATTGTATGTTCCTAAGAATTAATCTGTTTCTTTAAGGTTATCCAATTTGTTGGAATATAATTGTTTATAGTAGTCTCTTATAATCTTTTTTATTTCTGTGGTATCAGTTATGTCTTCTCTTTCATTTGTAACTTTTATTTATTTCAGTTTTGTCTATTTTTATGTTTGTCTAATTAAAACTTTGTCAGTTTTATCTTTTCAAAAAGCAACCATTAGTTTCATTGATCTTTTCAATGATTTTTTTCTAGTCTCTATTTTATTTATTTTTACTCTAATCTTTGTTATTTTCCTCCTTCTACTGATTTTCAGGCTTAATTGGTTCTTCTTTGTCAAGTTTCTTGAGGTATCATGTTAGGTTGTTTATTTGAGGTATTTCTTATATTTTTTAATATAGGCATTTATTGCAACAAATTTTCCTTTTAAAACTGCTTTTGCTGCATATCATAAGTTTTAGAACATATCTTCATTTTTGTTTGTCTTGAGATTTTGTTAATTTTCTACCTGATGTATTCTTCAAACCATTGATTGTTCATGTGTTGTTTAATTTTCATATATTTGTAAATTTTCCAACATTCCTCCTATTTTGATTTTTAGTTTCATAATGTTGTGGTTGGAACATTGTGGTTGAAATTAGCAATATGATTTCAATCTTCTTAAATTTGTTAATAATTGTTTTGTGTCCTAACATGTGATCTATCTTGAAGAATGTTTCATGTATACTTGAGAAGAATACCTATTCTGCTACTGTTCGATGGAATGTTCTGTAGATGTCAGTTAGGTCCATTTGCTCTAAAGTGTAGGTCAAGTGTGATATTTCTTTGCTGATTTTGTGTCTGAAGCATATAGAGGTGTCAACAGCAGAATTGAGAATCTGAAGAAAGAATGTGTGAATTCAAATACAGGTTATTTGAAATATCCAATCAGAGGAGAAAAAATAATGGAAAGGAATAAAGAAAGCCTATGGGATTTATTGATTTTGACAATCTATTCATTGTCAAAAGTGGAACATTCAATAATTTTACTGTTATTATATTGCAGTTGATCTCTCCCTTAATATCAATCCAATTTGCTTTATATATTTAGGTGCTCTGATATTGAGTGGTTATAAATTTATAATTGCTATATTCTCTTGAAGAATTGACCCATTTTTATTATTAATAATCTTCTTCATCTGTTTTTATAGTTTTTGAATGAAAGTCTATTTTGTGTGACATAAGTATAGCTACTCTTCCTCTCTTTTGGTTTCTATTTGCATGGGCTACCTTTCTCCATCTTTTGACTCTCTGTCTATGTGTTCCCTTAAAGGTGAAGTGAGTCTCTTGTAGGCAGCATATAGCTTGGTCTTTTAAAAAAGTCTATTCAGCCATTTTATATCTTTTGATTGGAGAATTTAACACATTCACATTCAAGGTTATTGATAGGTAACAATTTACTACTGTCTTTTGTTAAATTATTTTCTGATTGCTTTATAGATCCTTCGTTCATTTTTTCCTCTCCTGCTGTCTTCCTTTGTGATTAGATGATTTTCTGTAGTGGTATGTATGCTTTAATTTCTCTCTTTATCTTTCATATACCTATTATAGGTTTTTATTTTTATTTTGTGGTTACCACTATGCTTATGTAAAACATCTTGTAGTTATATCA